AGTAGTTACCAGTGTCAATGCATTCCATAAATAGCTTAGGATTAAAAGTAGTGAACCCTAATCACATTTGATTACACAAAAGTCTTAAGTGGGTTATTACAATGTGGCAAAATTGCTTTATTCGAACGTTGTATACCAAGTGATTATAATAATAAAGTAATTAAACCCAGGTAGTGTCAACGCCAGGGTATATTGCTTGAGGTTTCTGGTGATCATGAGAGTCGGTAAGGGGCGGATTCGTCCCAACGCAACGGCAGGTACACAGGCGATAGAAATGACTTCGGGGATGATGATTTAAAAGCCACAGAAACAGATGGTGTGCATCTACCACTCCGACTTCTGTTAAAAGTCTGTTCGAGACGCGCCAACCAGGTCGATACCGAACAAAGATCTCGTGGGCCCTTTTCCGCTCCCTTTATAATTATTTCGTAGCAGAGATAATAGGGCCTGCTGCAGACGTCCGTTCGAGAGGCAACGATTTACGGTCCCCTCTTCGCGCCTGGCCTCCTCTTTTTTTTTTCGAACGGCGTCAAGGATGCGGATTTTGAAACAATGTGGCGGATCGGATGTCCGAGTCGACCGGCGAGCCCGGGTTTGCGCACAAAGCGAGAACGAAATTGCGGGGAAAATTGTTTTTGGAGCATTATGTGCGATTACATCCGCTCGTTTTAATTTCTTCCTCCGTCATAACGCGGGCTGCATAAACCGTCATGTGGTTTATTAATATTATTGAGATATATATTTTTTTGCAATGCGAAATCAATTTCTGTGAATTATTCTCGAATTATTTGTGGATTTGTTTTTGTTTTTAATTAGTGCCAAATGTTTGAATGTTTAACATACGTTCTTATGGGAATTGTTATGCATGCCCTTACAATCGAATTACGGAAGAAAAAATGCAAATAGTAAAATGAAAAAATATAGACATTTACTTGAATCATTATTTAATAGATGAGAAAAAGAAAAAAGGATGTTAACGCACATTTCACAGAGAAATTAATTATCAAACATAAAAAGTTCTGACTTGTCGACAACCAAGTGAACGCGAAGAAGTAACGGCAACAGCGCAATAGAGCATGACGGTACATAAGTAGCGGGAAATTTAAATGAACGTTTCGATACACAAATCAGTCATTAGAAATGGATTACATTCAACTTGTGTTTATTTGTGTAATTCAATTTCGAATAATAAAATAAAATCGGATATTTTCAAATGATCTATAGTAGGATCGTATTCGATGCAAAGTAGAGCAAAAAGTTGTCGGTCTTTTATCAAAGGAAAATCGTGTCATCATTTATAGGAGGCGTAAGATGAACCATTTCAAATTTAAAATGAAATTCAATGTTAAATCTGACATACCGCTGCATACGCACTGTGTTCTGGTACTAGCTGTAGTCACCAAGGTGCATCGAGTGTACGAAGTGGTTATACGTCAAATACTAACCTGGCGAGCTTGATCGTAAAACAGAGCGCCTCCAAAAAACAAGTAAACAACAGTGGCGCGTACAGAGGTAAAATGTAGTACATAATATGTGGAAATTAAAAAACAAATTGGTTTTATAATAAATTACATTTAAAATAAATAGTTTCTGAGAATAAAGGAATTTTTGTAGGAACAAGGGTGCCAGACGTGAACTGATCCATTCGTCCCTTCATAATGTATAAAGAAATTATTCAATTAAGGGTTTCCTTAAAAGCGTATGGCACTGGATCCCTTAACAGGCAATGATTTATTACTTTGCATCGAATATGATCCTACTCATGCATTTTGACAAATTATGACATTTTTAATATCATTTTTCATTTTAAATTTAACATTTCAATAATTTAAGTATATTTTTTACAATATTTTTGGCTGCAATAATATCGTATCACAGTATATACTACATATATCAAAATGTATTATACAGGGTGTTAGAAGTTTGACTGCCTTAATTTTAACAGACGATAGAATACATTAAAATAAAAAAAAAAAAACTTATCTGACATGGGCCCTAAACTCAACCATTTCCGAGAGAAAAATTATTAAAATAATCTCCAACTTATGTACAAAAGTTCGATTAATTATGGAATATTGTAATGTTTATCACTTTTTTGAACTTCTTTACGCTTAATTCTAAAAAATAATTAGCGTTGCAATAAATTTAAAATTCGATAAAATTCATATCGAGCAATGTGACAACGGCGCGGCAGATAACAGCAATACGCAATTCAATTGGTATCTGGAATTGGACCGTATCTGACTGTTTTTTGCGTAACATTATTTCCTTTTCTTGAGGTATTTTCCAGCGAGTGCGCGAAAATTGGATTCAAAAGTGCATCGAAAATGGTGGTGGACATTTTGAGGATATGTTGTAGTTTGTTTTGTACTTGTGCGTTTAAAAATTATTTTTAATACGTATGATTATTTGGACGACGTGAATATTTGGCTACTTTAATTACACATTTTTCAAAAGACGTAATTTGATTAAAATTTAAGGTCCTGTTTTAAGAGACCGAGACGTTGTTTTGTGACATGTTAAACATGTTACTATTTTGAATATTTATTTAGTACAATTTATTTACTTATTTTTGTTTACTTAATGTCCAAAATGATATCCCATTACAGCACAGGAAGCCAAAACTTAAAATATAAAATTCGCAGTGTAAAAATATATAAAAAATAAGGAATACAAATGAAATAAAAAAGTTAAAAATATGTCTCAAAAATATTAGATATTAGAATAACAACAGCAGAACGAAAAAATAAATTTCTAACACTTTTATATGAAACCTAAAAGAATCAGAACAATAGTATTAAGTTATTGAGATATTTTTTTTTTAAATCAACTAATGTAAATTCACAGCCGGAAATTTACACACCAATCAAAATCTATTCATTTTCCTTTTTTTGAGAAAATTACATATATAATTATTACAGTTAGATTTGTTTCAGTTAGCTACATTAATATTAATTGCTTTTTACTAATACTAATTGTAAGTAATTCTGAAATTTTTCCAGTAGGTAACTACTTTTTTTTTTGAAACAATACATACTTATTACTTTTTCTTAAGGGTGGCTACATCTAGACAACATACTCTGCATTTCAATTTTTTTGGTAAAACTACAGGTAACACCGCAGCAAAATATTTGCGTCAGCGGTTGCAAACCTGAAGCATCGACATTTTTTCGCAACTTCCCCATCACGTAACGCCTTGCACAACGCTCCCAGATAAATCATAAATAACCTTTTCCGATGATTACTTTATGATTATCTACCCCATTCAAGTCTTCCGACGAGCGCCAACAAACGAAGATAAAGCGTTCGAGACAGCCGATGACAGTTCCTACAAGCATCCATTATTAATGACGATTCGGCCTCATTATGTGGACGCAAATCGCTCTAATCCCATCGGAGTTGACGCAACGAGTAAAAGTAGAAGCGCGCGGTTTGCGAGACGGCGACGATTTTCTCGCCTCCTCGTTACGAGATATAGAACCCATAAAAAAAGGCCTCCGATAATAAATATTGAGAGAAAGCGCGTCGGTAATATAAGGAAGCTGAACCCATATCAAATGCACGCAGGCGACAATGCTCAAATTAGAAAGTTATAAGACACGTAGCTGCGACAGTGTAACATATTTTATTTATACAGAGCTAATGGCGCGATGAAATTCTAACGTAAAACAATTTTGAGGTAAGAAGATAAACTCGTTTATTAAACAGTCGGAAAAAAATTAAAAATTTCATCGCCTTGCGAGTCATAAATTGAGTGAAATTGTTTAGGGAAGTTTTCTCCCTAGATGTCCTGAGGAACCAGTTCGTTCTTTGTGCAAGCTAAAATTTTACACGATAATCCGAGACAAACAATCTAAGCAGGAAACCTAACCCCAAAAAATGTATATTCTAACATATTAAATGGGAAAACCCATAGTTAACGACCCCCTCGAGGTAGTTTAAATATTACTGACAATATCAGAATATCCTGCATCATGATATTTTTAATCATTTCCCTTTTTTTATTTACCTAAATTGCATATGCAAAAAACTGCAACAATAATTTAATAGTTTGTTTAAAGTTACTAAGTACCCATTAAATGACTGAATCCATGTATAATCTCACTGGAATTTTAATTTGTTTTGATACCACTTCCGAGCTAATTATGTTTTATCAAAACCTGACCCAAATTAGTTCCAAATAAAAATTAAAACGCTGTTACCACACCAAAAACAACTTAAAATTTTAAACCAATACAGAAAGTAAGTCTATTAAAAATTCTATGAAAATTATTCACATAAGTACAATAAAAAAAAGAAGCATCATGATTTCTAATAAAGTTGCAATATGTATCGCATTAAATAAATAATTCATGATGTTCTTGTTAATCCCTAGTAAAATCTGAACGTGTTATGAGAAACAAGACGGTTTTTTGAGCAACAAATTAAAATCTGATTAGACACTCGATGCCTTCCAATAAACCGATAAAACAAAAAAGAGAAAACTTGCAAGTTAACTATCTGGGCAATTATATTACAAGGACTTTAAATGGTCATGGCTTAAGCTCGGGTCTAGTCAACTTTTTTCACAACTTTCATTAGTTGTATGTTGCATACATAAATGAGCAGTTCTAATTACCTTCATGCCCAGATGCCTCGGCATCGGGTTTAGCATACTTGGTATGTAAATTGATTTTACAATTTATTTATCAAAATCGATTAAAACCCCAGTGATATACTTAAACAGTTTGTGTAATTAATATAGAGGACTCAAAACAGCACTCAATACACTTAAAATGTTTACATAACATTTTTTTACAAGTCATTAAAAGCAGCAAAGGTTAATTACTAACCTCAATTATAAGAGCTGTACAAGACTTGTACAAATATTTCCTTGAAAACAGAATTATTCCTTACTTTCCAATAAAACTGACTTCAGATATATTAAGCCTATTATTATTTATTTAACCCATATCGACATTTTTATTTTCGTCTATCACTACAAGAAAGCAGTTACTCACCTGATATAAATGATGCTTCCATTATTAAAAAGTCTCTTCCAACCATACGGCACAGTAACGAACGGCTGTTGACTTGTATTTAAAGTTCCCACAACGGAAGAACTGTTTTGTGTCTGCTGGGGTATGGGAGGCGGCCCGACTGCCAGAACCACACCCGCAGGCCGCACACTAACACTAGGATCGTACACTACCATCTCGGGCGGCTGGTTCTGCACTACTACCAGCCCTTCATCTGCCGAACTCAAGCTGCTGCAGCTCGACTCGGCAGTCTCGGAGCGCACTGAATCACAACGAACACTCTGGGAGGGCACCTCGGCCCCCATAACCGTCACGTAACCCGGTTCCACATAACTATCACGATTGTCACACTCGTCCCGCACTTTGATATCAGGCCTGCCAGGACCAGCCTGCCTCTCACCTGATAGCACTTCGCTGTTGCTGTAGTTCTTGATAACAGCGCCATTCTGATAACTTATATTGTTCACTATAGGCTGTGGGAACCCGTTTTGAGATATCACACCAGCAAAGTAACCTCCTTGTTGGACAGAGCTGTTTACTACTTGCCCGTTTGACGTGTATTCGGGAGGTTTGATGACCTGTTTGTCGGTGAATGTCTTAGTGGGGCCCACCACGGGGGCCATAGAATGAGATGTGTTTGGATACCCAGAGCTGTGGACAGCCTGGTGGTTGTTTTGTGGCACATTTTGCTGCCCGACAGCATATGCTTGAGCAAAGTTGTCATTCGATACGTATACCACTACATTTTGTACACCAGGAGCAGCTGATAAGTCAGGCTTTCCTGCCATCGTAACAGCATATCAACGGCTCTCTTGTTGAGCCCCTTCTTAGCTCACAATCGTTCTAAAAGAAAGTCAAAACATTATTATCGACAAGGGAGCAACGTCCGCGACTACTAAAATTAACAAGATATTTTTGAAATATTTGCTATCTGGGAACTGAGGAGAAAGTAAAAGGTTAATTTACAACCTGCAATAAAATTTAAAGGCACTTCTATGACACTTGTAAATATTATTAGCTATAACCAAGTAATAAATTACCTGCATGACGTATTAGTATCCCGTAAATAGCTGCAATTACCGAAAATTACCATTACAATCTGTTTGAGCAGCAGTTTCTAAAAAATATGTTTTGATCTGCACCTCGGGTTAACCCAACACCTGCTCTTGCAATATTAGGTTGTAGTTTGTTGAAATACGCGCCATATCGTCATCTTTCAATTAGTTTCATGTGGACTATTGCTGGAAATATGAAAAAATAATAAACACTTTGTAACAAACAACCACTTTCTCTCGCTTACGTTTCGCACCGCGTAAAACTAGACACTGAAAAATGGAAACCATCCACAACTCCCAGAAGCCTCTGCGTTAGGCGCCATGATGCATTGCACAAAAACAGTTTACCAGCTTTTCCGCGCTCGCGCCACCTATCCACTGATGGCCGCCAACTTTTAATGTCGCTTTTTGGGATTAAGAGAAAACTTTCTCGATTAGTTCTCTCTAAAATTTGCTGACAACGCTGTTTGGAGTCCGTTTTGTAATTATCTTCAGTGGAATTTCAGTAAAACGCACTAAATATTTTTGTTGGGGGTTGGCAACCTCCTGGGGAAATTTGTGAACAAACTAAGGCATGTTCGGTATTGACATCTAGATGCTCTAGATATAGCTCTTTGTCTTTTCAACTTCTACAATTAGAAAAGAACAAAACACATCTGGAGCGTCTAGACTAGAGAATGAAAACATCGTATTTTACATGAGCTTCAGCTTCAGCTGTTGCTGTTGAATATTATATATCAGCCCGGGGAAACTCGAGGCTTAAATTGAAAAACGACAAGTAGTTTGCCACCTTCATACGTGATGGCACCACCAGAGGAAAATGTTCTGTCACACCCTATTTTATCTGCAGAACAGGGCATCCCGCCAGTGTGACGTCACGTCATGATCCCGACATTCCCGACTGTGATGTGAAATGAAAAGAAGATGTGATCAGAGACAATAGGATGTGATCCTGGCATCCCGCCATCGCGCCATTCCCGTCAAGCCCATCTATCATTTCCTAAGCATTTACATTTTAATTAAATTATAAATGCATTTTTTCCTCCAGGTAAGTAAAAACAGAAGCTGTGAAGTGTGACCAGTAATAGAATAATATTGAATTATGTTAGAAATATTTTATTTATTGAAAATTGTATTTGTAATTTGTAGGTTATACCTTCTGTTATACTTACTCCTTAGTCTCCAGGACTTTTAGTGGCTTAAGCTTAAGGTTGAGTTGAGATGTAACTATTTGGTGGACTAGACTAGGTAAGTAATAAATTTCCATAGATATTTTTAGCTAGTAGATGTTAATATTTTGTAAACAAGGCAGATTTGAATAATTACTATACGGTCACTGGCATACATCATGGAGGTAATAGGACGACTTAAATATTCATGCAAATATCCTTTGTGTGAAAATGCATTTTTTAATCCAATTATTAAGAAAGGATATATAAATAAACATTTTTTTCATTTCCCTAAAGATATTTCTACTTTTCAAATATGGATAAAAAATTGTAACATGACTGACGGTAATGCAGAAAATTNTTTAACATCCTTAGCATTACTACTATTTTTAAATTACAAATCTTTATTACCTTAAATTCAGTTGTCTCTTCTTTTTACGTTGTACCTACTCGAACTTCAGTAACGTTATAGGTCAAAGATGATTCACTTGATTGTAACATCAATTTGGTCAAAGCTCCTGTATTAATTGAACTCGATAAAGTACTCTTGCTTAAAATGGAAGAAGATACACCACAAAATAATTTTATGGAAGGTGCAGAGTTGGGTCGTACTATTTTTCTTCCACAAAAGGGGAGAAAATCATCCGCTTTAAAGTGTTCAGAGCAAATTACGTTATTTTTTGTCCATACCCAATTTTCTTTTTCGATAGAAAGAACCTTGTCCTTGTCCAGTAAAGTTTCATTTCTAGGAAAGCTAGAAATAAAAAAATTACATGTTTACAATAAAAATTTAGAATAAAAAGTGGAAATATCTTATTTTTGTGTACAGCTACCTAAATATTTAGAAATGTTTTGTATTGGACATCTTCTGCAACTTGCGCTTCCTTTCACAGTACAAAGCACAAGACATATTTAAAGTTCAATAAAAACGAAATTTACAAACAAAAATATGAATAACCTCAAAAAACACACCTGCGAACCTAACGTCAACAACAACTGCGTGACGTAAAAGCCTTCAAAATGTCTGCGCCCGTAGCGTCCCTAGAAAAGTGGATGCGCACTCGTCGAAGCTCATTCTCCCCTACTCCATATCTCTGGAACAAACTAAGGCATGTTCGGTATCCGCGATAATTTTTAAGATGCAAGCGCACCAAGCGGCGAAAGCAGTAAGCTGAAAGCTCCGAAACAAGGTAATTTTGACATTGCCGTTCGCGTTTACACATTCATTTGAACATTTGTCTTATTTGCCAATATTATTAGTAATTTTGTTATCAATCTGCGGTTATTTCACTTTTGTGTTATTTTATAGGTTTCAAATATTTCATAAATAAATTTTAAGGCAAGTATTTATGTCTACTTTATTTGTCTCTAGCATTACAATGTAATGTACATTTTATTAAGTTATAACTATGAACTTATCCGTTGTGGAATACATTTCCTATTTAAATATATGTTAACGAAAACTCTCATTGTATATTAGATATACATTACTATATAGGAAAATTATTGAGCAGTTAATTTAAATTTAGAAATTTATATTATGTCTGCAGACTAGTGCCCTTACTTACTAACAACCCTCATGAAATTCAGGGAGTATTAATATCTATCGGCAATAATATTTTGAAAATTTCTTCAATGGTTTGATGAAAACTTAATTCTGGATTTTTCTTGGACCATGAAGAGCAACCTTGAACTGAACAATAATAGTTTGACAATTTCTTCTTTCTATCCATAATTGCTGAAATTTTCCCCACACTATTTTCTTAAAATAACAGTGTTCAAGAACGAACACTAAATACAGTTTTAAATAAAATACAAAACGAAGTGTCACACACAGAAGAAATATTTACCTTGTTTCGCTAGTATCACTTGTCACCGCCAGAGGACGAGCTCTTAGCTGCATTCGCGAATTGACATCTAGATGCTCTAGATATAGCTCTTTGTCTTTTCATCTTCTACAATTAGAAAAGAACAAAACACATCTGGAGCGTCTAGACTAGAGAATGAAAACATCGTATTTTACATGAGCTGCAGCTTCAGCTGTTGACTATTATACCTTGACTATGACTATGACTATTATGTCTTGTGTTTGTGAGTTAACAAATTTCGAATTTTCGGAGCAATGATTTACTAATAATTTCCCAGTTTCTCTAAATAGTAAGGCCGTCGACCTTTCAACAAAGATTTGAGTGCATTTTATCGAGCTCGGTATCATTTTCTAGGATCGAGCTAATTACAGGACACATACTTGATTTTACACGGAACATTATAAAAATTGGACATCTACTAAACTGGCAAAAATGACAAAAATGTGTGTACTCTAATTAAGTACTTTTAGATAGTTCTCATTATAAATTACTATTTCAAGTACAAGAGATATACAAAGTATTTCAAAATGTTCCCTGTATGTTTTGAGCTGTTCGAACATATAGTATAGTAGTATTAGTGGAGTGGAGACAGCCTTCCAACGAAACGGTGCGCACGTTAAATGGAGAAGGTAGCTATGAAGGTAAATGCTATAACCAGCGTACAAATATCAGATTTGATATTTGTACGCTGCTATAACTCTCTCGTCACATGTGATGTGACTGTTCCCGTCACGTGGGATCAGTCGTAAGCGAATTACGTTTAACAAGTGTTTAGGTTCGAAGGATTTTTAATAAAAACACAAATAGGAAAAAAAATTTATTTTAAAAAATAATCGTTTTGGAAATAATTCGGTGAAAGTAAAAGCACACATTCACATATAGTCAGCATAATATGATTATACATTATACACATAGATAACGGGAAATAAATAGTCCGACTACAAAAAAGTATAGAAATTACACTAATGAATTTAATTAAATACCCATCTACACTAACTTTTAAGTATAGGACATTAAGTCAACTGCTCGAGGCAAGACTTCAAAAACAAATTATTAAATTTATATAATTATATTCTGCTTAGGAAATACTTGTACACCATATAAAACTAATAAATGCTTGTGTACGTATCAACAAATAGTTACTTTTAAGAACTCAATGCACGCCTTAGGTTTTCATATGATCCCGAATTAATTTTTCACCTTTCCAGACCAACAGATTTTAATGTACAGGGTTATTGGTTAATTCAATGAATACGGAGAATAGTTTTTGTTTATTAAAATTTATATTTTTTTTGAAGATATTTATTTTAAATATATTCCTTGTCTAACATTTATGGTCTTCCGTTTAGAATGAAAGATATTTGGAAACATTTTGTTATGTGAAAAGTTGGAAAAAATCAATTTAAAAAATCTGCTAATTTTTTTTTCCCAAAATTATGAGCGTTTCAGAAACTTCCTTATTCTATTAGCCATCTAACAAGGTACAAATGTTGAAGGAGCCCTAGCGTAAATAAAAAAAATATATCCTAATTAAAATATAAAGTAATTAAAGTATTTCGAATTTAAAATTAATAATAACTTAAAATGTAAATCTTGACAAAAAAAATAAAAATCACGTTTTTCAAACTGTTAATTTTTTTAACATTTATGTCTTGTTGGATAAGTATCTATTGAAATAGATATATGTAGTGTCAAAATTAAAATAAAAAAAAATATTTTTATTGATAACTCCGAAGATTTTAGAGATATTTATTTGAAATTTAGCAAATACTTTGATCTTAAGTCGGCACACTTTTTGTGTAATTTTGGTTTAAAATATCAAAGCGCGAACGAAGGGGAGGCGGGGGAGGTAATACCCATTGACCCCCTCTTTTATTTTTGAGTACGCCTATGCTTTCTGAATAATTTTTTTAGATAAACTGGCGTTTTATTCAAATTTTTTCCACTCTTGTTAAGATTTTGTTTTGGAGCCTCGTTTACAAGATATTGTTAACTTTTTGGATACTCGACATCAATTTAGTTGACGTTAGACTTTTTTGAGGCTATATGAAAAATTCGAGTCCTTATTTTTTCAATTTACTGAAAAAAATGGAAATGATCATCGTTATGAATAGCAATATTTAATTTAAGCTAAATCTAACATATCTAAAAAAGTTGCAATATCTCGTACAGCAACCCCAAATCAAAATATGTGGTTTCAGCCTAAAGTGCTCTTTAGTTAGTATTGGTACCATATAAAAGAAATTTTTCATAAAATCTCAAAAATTAGTTTGTCGACTAAATTGATGTCGCGTATCCAAAAAAATTACATCTCGTAAACGAGGACCCAAATGACAAGAGTGAAAAAAATAGAATAAAACGCTTTATCTGAAAAAAAAATATTCAGAAGGCATAGGCGTACTCGAAGAAAAAATAGGGGGTCCATGGGTACTGCAATCCCCCCCACCCATTTTGATATTTTAAACTAAAATTACACAGTGTGCTGGCCTAAGATCAAAATATGTGCTAAATTTTAAATAAATATCTCTACGATCATTGAACTTGTCAATAAACAATCATTTTTTAAATTTTAATTTTGACACCCTGTATATTGAAAATGGGGCTCCAAAATGAAAAGCGGCATAAAAATAGTCCCATTATTTTAGTACAAGTCCAAAGAATATGTGGTTAACTGCTTGACATACTAATTTGCAACACCCTGTATAACAATGTATAAATATCAACATACCCGTGATAAAGTAACAATCCAAAAAAAAAAGTTGTTAAAATTTAATTTAATAAAAAAATTAAATATATGCTTTTATGCTTTTTTAGTGTTAATCCGTATCGTATTAAAAAAAAGTGTACTTATTATTTTGAAACTATCAAAACTGAAACAAAGCAGTTTTTTTAACAATTTTACGCACATTTTTTTGATAATTTTGTAGAAATAACTCAGACATTTTTTAAAATAGTTTTTTATCAAAATTTCTATTTTCATGATTAAACGATTTCCCGTACTTTTTATTCCAAACGGAAGGTTGTAGCGTTGGAAATCCAATTAAAAAAATTTAAAAAATGTAGACTGAAAATTTACTTCCAAGATATTAAAATCAACTTTTTTAATATAAAAACAGAAATCGAAATATCTCCCATCCTATCACCCCTCAAAGGAACATATCGCTTTACCAATAACAATTTGTAAAATCAAATTGACTCAAATATACACCTTTAACGTTAGGAACAGATTATTCAAAATGTATTTCCTTTGGCCGGACATTTCAAATAGAATTAGCCGTTTGCCCTTAAAATACACGTTTCTACATATTAGGGGCATTTCAAGTAACGACACATTTGCAAACCTCAAAACGCAACGTGCGACTACACCCACAACATAATACGTTTATTAAAAATCCATAAATGCCAAATATAAAATAAAAAAAGTACTGAAGCTTGAAGTCTCCCATGAAGTCGACCGAATCGGACCTTGCCCGTGGAATAGCGATGCGTAAACATCCAATTAAATTAATTAGTAGCGCACTGCACCCGCTGGCCAGAACCGTGCATCTCGTCGTCTTCGTCGTACACGTTCTTATGGTGGCGCCTCCTAGCCTCCTGTTCAGGATCGAATTCCACTAGGATGGCCTCTTCCGCGGTGTCGGGGATCATGCATTCGGTTCTTGGCGGCAGGGCGTTTTCCAACGCCGGAATCACCTCCGGAGGCAGCGTTTTAGGGAACTGCACCCAGAACTGTACGATCATACGACCTTTCTCGAAGGGGTTCTTGTACTGGGGCATACCCTCGTTCAAAATGCATTTCACATCTCCGTGTTTGATGACTTCACCCGGGAGGGTGGTTATTACCAAATCACGGTCGTCTAGAGTCCTTATAACTTTCTGGAAACCGCAAAGAGCTTCTATGAGCTGGATTTCCAACCGCAGGATAAGGTCGTTGCCCGATCGTTTGAATACGGAGTGCTCTTTCTCATCCAGTACGATAATAATATCTCCGGGTTCGAGATCGGGTTCCTGGTCACCCTCGCCGTTGAAAATAATCTTCTGGCCGTCGGTCATACCTTTGTCAACGTGAACCTCTAGGATCTTACGATCTCTCACTACCTTCTTGCCTTGGCACTGCTTGCAACGGTCCTTCGGGTTGATCCTCTCGCCTTGACCTCTACATTCTGGGCACACGCTCTGGATTTGCTGCAGCATCCCTGAAAATTTAAATTAGGGAATTTGCTGTGCCTCTCATTATATTTGATTTAAATCAATTTTAAAGTACAAATTACAATTGTTTTGCGATTATTTACCAATTTTACCCGATGGTTAAAGAAGTAAGTTGTCAATATGCTATATTTGTAGCATATTTGTACATACTACAATAAATTGGTAAATTTACTGGAAAAATGTAAGGCTACCACTTTTAAAAATAAATTCAATATTGATAGATTTATAACTATAGATGGTATAGTGATCAGCATAACAAAAGTCGTGCATATTGTAGTATTTTTTATCATTAAGGGGTTACATCACTGCAGAATTTTCTAAAAATAGTTTTTTTTTTACTTGAAAGGTAATTTGAATCTTCTAGATCTAGAACACGAGGCAAAAGGTTTTATACATGAATTATTTTTTTTAATTTTGCGCTTTTCTTGAAGCGTGTCGGGCGTCTCTTATACAGCTAACTGCGCTATGAACATACTCGAACTTCTCTAATACACTTGTAGATGTCGTTAACAAAAGTAAGTTAGTGTAGCGTCAGTGCACGTTCATGTCTAACTCATTAAAACTTTAAACACGTTTTTCTCTACACGCTTTTTCAAAACGGCAAGCAGCATAACTCCAATAATTTTCAATATTTTCTTTTGAAATTTTAACCACATATTTAAAACAACATTTTGAAGAGAAACACGTACAGATTTTTCAATAAGTTAATTTAAACAATTGTTATAAACAAATAATTGCCTTTTCGTCACAAATTTAACATTTTACTTCAAACACTACGATTTTACAAAAAACAATGTTTTTACAATCCCGTACGTGTTTTTCTAGCTATACTCGTGCAGATTAAGGGCAATTTCTTTTTTGCAACATGCTTCAGAAGAATGGCTCCAGTGCCACTATTTTGAAATATTTTTTAAAGAAAAAACTACACTTAATACATGCGTAATAACATACTTGAACAGGTTTTTTTCTATCAACTTTCTTTCTATTAAAAAAAAAATTGTCAGAAATACGCTTTTTTTAGGCCCTTACAGTGGTATAACCCCTTAAGCATTCACCCGTCGGTACTCTGAAAGATGAAGGCTGACAGCTCACGCTGGACGGCTATCGGCACCAATGGTACAACGAACTTATTGTGCCAGTTCTATTTATTTATAACATATACTAATATAACAGCAACAACAAACACATGTAAACTATAAATATCAAAATTGTAGAATGTAGTTAATATTAATACTGTTGCTGTCACAAAAAATTATCAAATAGAACATAAATTCCTCAATTTCTTGGCCAATTTGCTAGCTCTAGGAAAGAACACAATTTATTTATTACTGTTGTACAGACTTTAAAAAACACTCTGTATAACACCAAAATGTGTAGACCGAAAGCAAAATTTCACACCCCAAAAATAATCAAAATCGATTAATACCTATTCCAGTTATTTACAAAATTCAAAAAATTTTCAGCAACTTTTGAGGCCATCTAGCAGCCAAACGAAGCGATTTCGGATATTCCGTTGTACACGTTTTTCTGGGACACCCTGTATATATTTGCTATTACAGTGATCAGTTTTGTATAAGACTTGTCATTTGTGGTTTACTTTTATTATTTCTTTTTTTTCTCTTAAAGTTGGTAGCCTTAAATTTAGTCAATAATTTGACCAATTTATTGCGACATGTAAAATAGTGCCACAAAAATTAAAATTAATAACAACTTCTTGGGTAAAAAGTTAATAATTGTTAAAACACATTTACAGCACATTTTGTAGATAAATAAATAATTGCAGGAGCTACTTTTAAAAATAATGCTAATCAAAATTATCTAGATTAAAGTGAACTTTTACGATGACAGATTTATGCATATGATTTAATTCTTTTTAATTAAAAAATACTTATCACAGATTTTTTTTGCAATTTATCACGCTTATCTAACATGTTATGCAAATATTTTGTTTTAAAAACAAATTTCCCGAGAGTAGGAATGGCAAATTATTCGACAAATATATCATTGTATTAAACGTATTAGGTAATGGAGTATAATGTTTTCAAGGATATTCCACTTATCATACAATTTTCCAGAAAGTTCATAAGTTGAATTCATTAAAACATCGCAAAAATACATAGCAACTGTGACAATGTTTATGTCTCTTTTATAACTCAATAATTTTTAAAAATAAATCGTTTCAGCAAATAAAATGTCATCTCAGCCTAACAAAGACGGATTCATTCAATATAAGTTACAACACACCTTCATTCAATGAGTTATTTTTGGACAATTCCCCACGCATTATTAAAACCGCCACAATTCTAGAAACCTATTTCCAAAAATAACCGGAACCGAAATAACAAATTATTTTATTTATGAAGTAAATACGGGAAAAATATTGTGTTCAATATAAGTATTCAATATATAAGATAAAATGCACAAGTTACCTGGTCCTAACTGTTGAACCTGCACTTGCATCCCAGTTCCCCGACAGGTAGGGCATTGCTCGATTGCTCCCTTCTTCCCACCACGACCCTCACATTTATCACAGATAACATTCTTCTGTAAAGCCAGCTTCCTCACTGTGCCCTTGTAGAGTTCTTCCAAGGATATTGTGAGCTGGTGAACGACATCCCTACCCTTACGTTCTCTCCTCCTGCCTCTGCCTCCCCCAAAGCCCCCACTGAAGAACATGTCGAACAAGTCCATGGGGCTAGAGAAGCCTCCACTAACACCGCCTTCTTTGAGGGCCTGTTCACCACCTTGGTCATATATACGCTTTTTCTCAGGATCAGAGAGGACTTCGTATGCTTGAGATATCTGTTTGAACTTCTCCCCTTCGTTGGGGTTCTTATCAGGATGGTATTTTAAGGCCAACTTTCTGTAGGCCTTTTTCAGATCATCCTGTGAACATCCTGGCTTGACACCCAAGATGTCATAAAACTTGGTTTCTTTCACCATTTTTCCAGTTAATCAGTTCTGGAATAATTAAATAGAAAAATAAGCCGTCTGGGGAGACATGCTAACAATTTGACCTACCTCAGAAATAATCAATACCCCTGGAACACAATCAACGAAAAACTTGGTAAAATCAATCTCACACGGACGCGTGGATCTCTGTCGTAGCAGCTACGCTGTAATTAAACTTCCAGGAACTTCTCGCGCACTAAGAAATAAACTCGAAGCAGTCTAGAACCTTCGACGAGGAAATGTATGAACTGGTTGGAGAAAGATCGATTTATCACGAACAAGGAAAAGAATGCTCTAGAATCGTCCACGAGGCTGAAAAGTCATTTACGTCATTGATTCTTATGCTACAGTGGCATAAGGGTCAACAATATATTTCTAGGAAAAATTGCGAGAGCTGCGCCATCTCTTGTTTAATTCTGGAATTTCGATAATTTTGTGTTTAAAAACAATCAATTTTCTCTGGATACCCATTACTTTTTGCTTAAAAAATATTGACTGATATGTATAAACTAAATATAGAATATTGTTTAAAGATAACCAAATATATATGTAGGTTTCTATGCAACACACTCAATAAGGTGTTTAGTTGGTTGCATAAGTCAAAATGTATTTTTTTTTATATTTTGACATTTGACATTTGACATTTGATGATTTGATGTAAAAATTTTATTTTCATAACGAGAAACAGAAAATGATCACTTTTGTTAATTAAGAAGGCGATTATAACAGGAAATAATATTTTTACGCTATATGTCTAGAATCTAGAATTTTAGTTCAGTGTGTTGTTTTACCATAGATCTAATATAGTATGGCCACAGTATAGAAAATACTATTGTATGGTTTTACACCGATTTGTTGTAATACTGTGCAGTATATAAATAATCGAAAATATCTCACAAAAATCAACATTCGTTAAGTACCTATATAGTTTATAATTTAATTGCAGATTTAAATTAACTTAAACCAAACACTAAATCTAAATTTGAGGTTAATTACGTACAAATTTTAAAATATGGATCAAATAACAGCAAAGAAATTGTATGCCGAAGGTGGGATTTTTGTATTTCTAGAGGTTCCTGAGGGAACCGAATTTGGGATTGACATGAAGTCCTGGAATACGGGTGAAAAATTTCGAGGAGTGAAAATGATACCACCGGGACTCCATTACATATTTTATAGTGCCGTATCTGACACTGGAGATACATCTCCAAGGACAGGCTTTTTCCATAATTTCAAAAGATCTGAAGTGATAGTGAAAAAATGGGACAAGAAAAACGAATGTATAAGTTCTGAAAGTGTAAGCGAAGCTGAAGTTGTACATTTCAAGGATAATATTTTAGCCCTGGATAACTTTCTAGGACCCTACCCTTATGATATTTGGGAGAAATGGGTAAATTTAACCTCGGAAATTACAAGTGGGTAGAAAGAATTGTATTCTAATTAATTAATTAAGTGTAGGAACTTACCTTTATTACTATTTCTTTCTAGGTGATTTAGTGCAAAAGTTAACTCCCTGCTCCGGTTATATTCAGTCCGCATTGGAACTAGAATCTTGTAGCGATGCTGATAGACCGAGAGGTAAAAAAGGAGGCGAAACACAAGATTGTTCTAGTTCTAAGAAAGCAAGGTTATCCGGTGATGCCGAAGAAGGTTTCTTACCAAATCTAAAAGCAAAACAAGGCACCGAACTGAGATTTACACCCTTTCCTGAAAGAAACTACCCAGCAGGTTCTACCCCTGCAGAAATTACACGACATTCTTTAGATTCTTCATTCTTGCTAGATACCATGATAGCAAACTATTCAAAGTAAGTGAACGATTAATTTTTTTTCCACTTTAAATATCGACACATCTTTTAGATCCACAGAGTTGTTGGGAGAGTTGGAGTTTTGCTACGTGTGTTTTTTAGTCGGGCACAGCCTGGAAGCTTTCGAGCAATGGAAAAAGTTATTTAGTTTGTTTTGTTCTTGTGATACGGCCGTGAAAAAACACAGAAAACTGTACGATTTGTTCGTTTCGGTGATCGAGATACAGGTTAAAGAAATCCCTGAAGAATTCCTAGCGGATATAGTGTCAAATAATAACCTCGTGTATACGAAGCTGAGGAATTTGTTCCGAGCCGTACGGAATTCGGATGTCGACGGGCAACTGAAAGCTAAGCTCAGTAGGTTCCAAAAAAATTTAACGGACTTATACCAGTGGGACTTTGAACATTTGGATTCTGATGAGGAGGATGAAGCGCCCGTTATAGTGGAGACATGAATTGATGATAAAGAAACTACAGGAAGAAATCCAATTGTGCAAAAAACTTAAAATATTACAGCAAATCATTTTACAAGATCTTCGAAGACTGGTTTTATGGAACGATTTATGTAAATATTGTATAGAAAATAAAAGTTTTAAAATAAACCTTTAATCATTCTCAATAAACATATAGTCTAAGCGTATAGCGCTCCAGCCAGACGTTTATTCTGGGGAGCGAAGTGTGGACGATCGGTCAAACGCGTTTATTTTTAATAAAAATAAAATCTTTTGAGTGCAACTTTGAAATTTTGTGTAGTTATAGTTTTTAACTGGAGAAATCACGTAAAATTATTGCCAGAAGGTTCTGTCGGGAGTTAAGAGTTGCCGAAAGTTGTAAAAAAATTGTTAAAATTTTAACGACGAAGTGCAATTTTGGCGATTCCGCTCAGCAAAACATGTAAAAAAGTTCATAAAAACGTGGGTCCGCAAGTGCTTCATTTACGATATACAGGATGTTATTTTTTCTTAAAAATTGAGTTTTAAAAAAAGTGGTTTAGCCGGTTTGAATGAAATTTTAAGGTTTATTAAAACAATTGTCGGACATCAACTGGACCAATTAGATTTGATACAGAATTTTCAGGGGTGTACCCAATGAGCAAATCGTTTTTTTATTTTGTAGAAAAGAATAAATAAAATAAAAACGAAGCGAACCACTAAAAAGAGTCAAGAGACACAAATGTACTATTTTTAGTAGGTTTTATTACATAAAAACTACAGGGTGATATTCTTTTTTACAAAAAAAACGCTTACTGGTACACCCCGAAAATACTGGATCAAATCTAATTGGTCCAGTTGATGTACGATAATTGCTTTAATAAACCATACAAATTTCATTCAAGTCGGCTAGTGTTTTTTTAAAAATCTCAGTTTAAAAAAAAATTAACATCCTGTATCTTGGAAACGAAGCACTTGCGAATCTATGTTCATATGAATTTTTTTTACATACTGGGTGGGCCATTAGTGTTGGAAAGTAAAATAACTCCCTTGTTATTCATAATACAGAAAAAAAGTTTATATAAAAGTTGTACAGAATCAAAAAACCTAAAGGACAAAATAAATTTGAAACACACAGGGCAATGAATAAAAACGGGACACGCCAATATTACATTTTTTAAATGGAACACCCTGTATATTTTTAAACATATGGATTTCTGAGAAAATTCTATATATGGCAATATAAACAGTTTAACATTTTTGTGCGGGGTTGCCAAGTTATGTAGAAAATTCTTTGAATTTTGGAAAAAACACGACCTCGGAGAAATTGTATTAACTTTCAACTACTAACACTTGGAGCAAAAATATTTGACAAGTTATAGGCAAATGTTAGCCGAAGACTCCTATATTACCTATAAATAGTATCAATATTTATACAGGGCAATTTTTATAATACGATCATTTTAAGAAAGCTCAAACGTGATTTTCTAAAAATGGAACAACCTGTATTTTATTGTTCTATTTTACTCACATATCAGTCAATTTCAACTCTTATTAAGTATGTTCTACACCTAAAGTTGTTAGTTTTTAAGGTAGCAACATTTCTAGAAAAACCAAATTTTTATTATTTTCGTTGGCACGAAATGGCTCTAGAAAAAACTGTCGTATTGCATCAATTTGTCAATTCATAATTTATTATTCCATTTTGAGTTAATTTTATTAGTTAATATTTATTTGTGGTATTCTGTAAAATAATAAAAATTAAGTTTCTTCAGAAATATTGCTATATCTAAACTAAAAATTTTAGATATAGAACATGCTTAATAAAAGTTGAAGTACACCAATATGTGAATAAAATAGAACAATAAAATACAGGTTGTTCCATTTGAAAAATTTTAGAAAATCAAGTTTAAACTTTCTAAAAATGTTCGTATTATATAAAATGCCCTGTATAAAATATCGATATTAGCTATTATAGGAATCTTTGTGTAACATTTGCCTATAACTCTATCAAATATTTTTGTTCCAAGTTAATACAACTTCTTCGAGGTCGTTTTATCCAAAATCCGAAGAATTTTCTACATAACTTGGCAACCCCGCACTAAAATGATAAACTGTTAGTATTGCCATATGTAGAATTTTCTCGGAAATCCACGTTTATAAATATACAGGGTGTTCCATTTAAAAAATGTTATATTTGGTGTGTTCCGTTTTTACTCCTCACCCTGTATGTATCAAATTAATTTTGTAGTTTAGCTTTCTTGATTCTGTATAACTTTTTGTATAAACTTTTTTTCTGTATTATGAGTAACAAGGGACTTATTTTACTTTCTCACACTAATGGCCCACCCTGTATTTTGGTGAGCAGAATCTCCCCTAGACTTTTGTCACTTCAATTCTGAAACATCCGGTATTTATTGGTGAAGGTGAATATCGATTGGCAGAAGGCAAAATGGCTTCACTTTTCAGTCTGCCTTTTTGCACGTTTTTCAAAAGGGTATAAGCAATAACCACGGATGATTTTTATTCTCGACTCGATTTTTTTCACTGAAAAATGTTCACCACTTTTGAAGTGATTTGAGGACACTTTTTATTCAAGGAAACAGTCCGGCAATTTTATTACATTTTCATTACAATAAACATTAAATTTTCATAATTTTATGGTTGAATCTTATTCTTTTTTTTTGTCGTGAAATTTATTATCTTTGGTCATGGGCTTCCGCCTTAATTTTCCTGACCATTTAGGCAGACTGGCGATTTAGTGTTCGGCTTTACTTTAAGGAATTTCTTCAAGTAGGGACTTGGACTATAGTTTTAATGACAAAAAAAGTGCCCCTGAATAATTATTAACATATATAAGCGAAAGTTAAGTTAATAATAAACCAAAAAAAATGTTATTTTTCTATATAATCTTTTAAGTGTATCGAAACGAAAATGTTTTCCTAACCAAGTCAACAATGTTAAATGGACAAGAAAACTATTTGAAATTTTGAGTTGTATCCTTCGTATGAGCAACGACATGAAGACATGCATTAATCTGGAGGAAAAGGACGTACTGCCGACTCTTTTTATCTCATTAGACAGGTAGTCGTTTTTTTGAACCATTAGTTTAGTAATGTTAGTGCATAATTCATTTTTTGAGTAGGAAACCAATGCAGATTATGCTCAAGTAAACATCGTTTTTTAAATTAAGAGTTCAGCGTCTCACAAATTTTTATGGTTTTATATTAAATTATTTATCGAATAAATCCCAAATTCGTTGAAAACATTTTATTGAAAAAATACAAATACAAAAGCAAACAGGTTAAATACAGAAAACTGAATGCATCAGTCTTTTAAACACATGAAGACAAACTAAGAAAAATGAAACGTTAGTGGAATGACAACTTAAGTAAATGCTAAAAACTCGAAAAAATGCCTGCTCATGATTTCTGCTTCTTGGTTTTCTCCTCTTCGGCCACTTCTTGAGTAGAATCCTGAACCCTGGATGGTTGGTTTGTAAAAGTAATTGGTATTTCAATCTCGGCATTTTCCTTTTTCTCCACCTTGGGAGCAGTTATAGTTAGTACTCCATCCGAAGACAACTTAGAGACACATTTCGCTACATCGTGCCCTTTGGGGACCTTGTATTTTCTTACAAAGTGTCTGGATATGTAACCATGTTCATCAGGCTTTTCTTCATGTTTGCATTCCACCACAATTGTATCATTATTGATACATTTAACAGTAATTTCTTCCGGAGAGAACTGCTGAACGTCAATATTTACATGAAAATTCTTGTTATCATTTGTAATCAGATAATGTTTCCCTTTGTAGTTTGGATGTCTCAGATAAGGAGAGCTGATTATCTGCCTACGCGTCTTCTTTGGCATCAGAGGGCTTAGGAAATCATCGTCGCTCAATTTTAACCTCAAATGGTCGCCGCCTAACAAGGTAGACATGAGACTTTGGGGTTCGTTTAACAAGGGCAGTAACAAAGCCATTTCTATTCTAGTTTTTGAGACACGATACAACACACAAAGTTTTTTCTTAAAAACAGTTATTACAACACCCTCTCCTGCACAGCGTCTCTTTACCAAAATCACCAAAACTAAATAAATAACTAAAATACTGACGCGCACGTCAGATGGCGTTTATTTATAACTTCTGTTTGTTTTTCTAGTTGTTCAAGGAACATTCTAGATGATTCTAGTAATATCATTGATTTTGTTAAGCTTCTAGGGAAGCTAAACGTAATAATATTTGCCTATCCAAGAGCTTAAACCATGGGCGTTCAGATGGCATCTCAGTCGACGAGGTGGAATTAAAGGATTATGTGTCATTAACAGGGTTAATTTATTACTTAAATTATTATAATAGGGTAACGGAGATATGATGATATGAAATGTTATCAGCAATGATAATAAATGTGTAATTTGTTTGATCTGACAATAACTACCGATATGCCCTCTGGACACCAAAGACCTAAGCTGTCTTAAAAACAAAATAATAGTTTCGTATTTTCATTACTGGATTATAGAAAATAAATTTGAATTGCTATCAATCGATTTTATTTAGTGAAAATTACAATTATTTAAAATTATATGCAGTAAAAATGTAGTAATGGTATTGACTACTGTCAAAGAGATGGCACTGCAATAGAAGTCTTCATTCGACGCGTTCCATGGCACGCGTACCATGGAACGGCTGTTGTGTGGAATGACTCTTAAGGGGCATTTACATTTAAGATTACTCGGATCCGAGTAAAGCGCGCCATTATTCCATGGTTAGAAATTGGCCTCAACGATTTGGGATCGAGGGGGATTATCCCTCTTTATCCTGCCTCATCTCGTGTAGGCCTGGACAGCCTTCGTGTCGTGTTATGTATATTGTCGGGTCCGGGGGCTTTTCTGTTTTTAAGTCTGCGTATTGTCAGTCTTAGTTCGTCAGGAGTTGCGGGAGGAATTATGTCATTGTCTAGCTCTCTGTCGACGCGTTGGGCCGCGCGCTCAGCCACTATCTCGAATTCCTCGTCTTCGTCGGGCAGCTGAGGCAGTCTACACTGCAGTTCCAGGCTGTCGGCGAAAGCCTTGGCCTTTTCCTGGTTCGTGTAAACCACCCCCACACTACCGTGGAGAGTAGAGCTACGATTGAGTAATGTGCATCTATACTGCTACTATTGCTTAAGAGTTACGGACCTATTTTAAAATAGCTCTTTCTTTTTCATAAATATTTAAAAAAATTTTTGTTTGAATTTAATTTTTCAACTTTTTTCAATTTCTTCAATTTCTTTTCCTGTAGGTACCTATGTTGATCTATTATTTATTTTCTGTTTTTCTCGTTCCACACTAATGTTCATTAAATCAGCAGTAAGCTGAGCTAATAAATGCTTAATTAGTAAAGATAATAAAAGATATTATGTTCATGATGATGTATATTTAAGAATTACTAATATTTACAACTAATTCTGACACTGTAAATAAAAATTAAATAAAAACTATTGTGAGGGTAACATTTTCTGTCCTAACAAGAAATATAACGAATACATATATATGTAAGTATAAAGTGTACACAACTAGGTATTTACTTTAAATATTGACACATATTTTTTATGTACAAATTAGCACTCGAGCGAGTACGTTGTATAAAAACGAGTCTATTTACAAGAGTTCGGTTAAATTTACACCATACTAGTATCAGTGGGAACACTGGAGACATGTGTGAGATATTTCATAGATATAGACTCTCTCCTGTTCATTTGCCTGCTAGAAGGTTTCTTATTCGGCCTTAGTGGGCAGCACATATGGCGAAACACATAACTGTAGCACAACAGCAGACCCACAACGATGAAACAGCCCACAGCCAGAGTGATGAAGACCTCCACGTATTCCCTTAGGGGCATATCGGTGACATTTTCTCAGGTTGTTCCTCTACGAAACCTGCAAAAAAATGATATCTGAGTATCTTTTTGAGTCACTTTTCGCTTTGTCTAAGTATAATATTAACTGGTAATTTTTTGGTTGTTCCAATTTACAAATAAATTTTCATGTATTGTTTGCCATCTTATTTTATTTAAAAGTAAATGGAGTTACTACAAACCGCCTGAAAAAATTTAGGAGTATTGCAAGGGTCGTTACTTTGTCGCATTTTTCGACAGTTAGGTACTTAAATATTTCTATTGTTTTCATCATTTTTTTTTCTAAAAAAAACACCCTATATCTCAAAAACGAATCATCTCCTGAATAATTTTAATACTATTGGTTAAACCCAAGGGAAGGGGAGACAAAAAGGCTTATTTGACTCACACATACTTGAGACTAAGACCAATTTTAACAGGTAGTATATTTTTTTAGGTGTTATGAGGAACATCTTCCTAAAGTTTATCGACAGAATCCAGAAGCACCCTTCCGAAAAATCAATTTTTCCATGAAACTATAAGAGTTAGGAAAAAAGTGAATGTACACTTTTGTCAATAACACACTGTTCTAACCAAAAACAGCATAATTTTTTATTTTCAGTAGAGCCGTATTAATTTTTTTTATAATTCAATGAGTCTGAGTCTCCATAACTCCGCCACTGGTTGCTTGCGGGACTTCTTCTTCTATGGAAAAATGGTATCTTATAAGAAGATCTGTCATGCCAAATTTGGCTTAAATAGCCTTCTTCATTTAGAAGTTATTTAAAAAATTTGAATTTTTTTAAAAATCTCTTACACCTTATATTTCGAAAATTAAGCGTCTCTGGAAAAAAATTATACTTCTTCTATCTCCTTAAAGTTTGTCGACATAATCCTGAAACACCCTGTATAAAATATTATAACCCTGAACTAACAATTAAGTAAAATATTTTTTTTTCAATTAAAGCTTTTGTATAAAATGCAATATCTTATCTTCGGTTTCAGTTTGGCACCATATTTTAGAAGCACCCTGTATAATCAATGAGCTTTTATTTCTTTAGCTCATCACATTTCAAAACAAGGTGTTCCTAGAAATATGTGGGATGTTTATAGTTTTATTTTAAACAGAAAAATTATTTTTATTTTAATTTCTGCATTTTCGGTTTTATCTAACAGTCCATTAATGATTAATATATGTAGTATTATCCATAAACACCAAAACATAACATTTGAATACATTATTAAACAGTCCATTTATATTCCCAAGCTTCCAGCGTGTTGTCTATTTTTGTAGGGATTTATGGCATGATCAAAATTTCAATCGTAAAAATCTGATGGACTTCCCATCCAATTCGCGTCACGAACGCCGACACCGGCATCATGGGACGGAATTTATTGCACTTTAAATCGTTCCCAGGGCGCTTTACGCCATCGGGATGGCGCGTTGAAAGAAATATTTTAATTTTACGTATGTATTACGGCAACTGAATCCAAATATTTAATTCTGCAAACATCAACAATTTTATATTCTAAAGCACAAACTCTCGACACCTCTAAAACTTGATCCAAACGAATGGGTAATTATTCACTAGAAAAATAAATGCCTGGATGGGTTTGGATGGGTTACAGGTATGTTTTGCGAGGATAAAATGTACAGGGTGTGGACAACTCTGTTTAAAAAAATAAGGTAATGTCTTATACATTCTATTAATTGCAGAATTTTTCCTAGACTTCTACAAAATTTGTTTTGAACTGACTTAAATCTAGAAATGTAAATATGTATGTTATATTAGACCAAGTAAATTAAATTTTTACTCGAAAAATCTATATCCGCGAGATTATTGTAAAATTGTCTAAATGAACATAATACAAGACATCTCTCATCTCGTGAGTCAAAAACTTTTATTAGCTAACTTTTCTATTTAAACAAATAAGTGGGGAAAACAGTTTTTTCACTGTGTAGGGAAAACCATCAATTTTAGCGAAAAGTGACTCGGAAACAGCTTATAGGGAGTAAAATTATCTACGACTGGTTAAATTAAAATCGGTTAATAAACAAAAAAGTTATTGCATAAAAACAAGAAAAGTACCCATTTTTTAATTTGTTTATAACTATCGCATTTATTGTTAAAATTTTATAAAACCTATGACAAGTTGAGGGTTTTGTCATACTTCAAAAGTGTGCCAAAAGTGGGCGCTGTAGGTGCAATAGTTTTCGCACAATTAATTTGTTTATAACGGAGGCTCCAAAAGTTATGAACTTTAAGCCTCTGTACAGGCGTTAATTTTCAACCAAACATGATTCTGAAAGCGTCATTGTAATCTTAAAGACGTAATTAAAGGACCTATTAAAAAATGTCACCGTTTTTTTGACATTAACAAAAGACCGTGCGTTTTTCGCTTATAAACAATTTGAATAACATTGTTGCTATTTATGCTCTCTTCAAGGGCATCACCGAAAATAGATGCAATGGATAGCTGGCAAAAAAATACAGTTTTAAAATAAAAAAGTATCCTCTCCGACCAACAGGAGCCAAGATAAGAATTTTTTTTAAATCGTAGCGCAATTGTTTATAAATATTAAGACTTGAATTTTTCGCGAAATACAGTTTACGGCGTAAACTTCGATTTCCCGTGAATTGCATCGAAAAATGTCGTCCTAGCGGTCGCGCGCGCGAGAAAAGTTCAAATTGTAGCGCGCTGTAAATTTTGCAATATCTCGGCTTCTATTCATCGTAGAAACTTATTTTTTTAAACTGGGCTCGAGGAAAAAATAATAATGGGCATATTTACGAATTCGTAGAATAGCTCTGAACGAGCTGTTAAACGAAATATTAATTAAAATTTCAATTTTGGAATTATTTTACTATTATTAAATAAATAAATGAAGCTATCGTTCATTTAAAAAGTTATTTTTTTTACATATTAAGGCAAAGTAAACTTGTTTTTTCGATATTTTGTTAGCTATTTAATTACGATTTAAATGTAAGCTAATAAAAGTTTTTGACTCACGAGATGAGAGATGTCTTGTATTATGTTCCTTTAGACAATTTTACAATAATCTGCTCGCGGATAGGACTTTTTTTCGAGTTTCTCTTATATTTTCGCTAATTTTCCTGGTGTATATATTGAGGGGACTATTCTGCATATATGCAAAGCCTCAGGTGATTTAAAAGATGTGCTATTTCTTACAATGAAAGTTAAAGCTACAATATCAGTTTATTACAGGAAATAATTGCTAAATCTTTAATTTTAGATACCCGTTTAAGTTAAGGTTAATTAATTTAATGACAAACGAATATTCATTAATGTTCCCAGTAAAAGTAATAAACAAACAATTATGTTGTGTTAAGAAACAGTTTGTTCATTGAATAATACTTAAAGAAAATGTGTTTGATTTACAGAACAATCGGCTAAACTATTTATTTTGTATATTTTTATATCATCGACATACATTAAAAATCTGTTGTGCTGAAAACATGGGTGATGTCGTTAAGGCAGATAACAAAAAGAAGTGGCCCCGTGTGGGAGCCCCGAGGCATACTAGAAAGGAAATCAAACTATGAGCACATTTTTTAAATAAAATATAATGGTATACCACCTGGCCAGCCCCCTTACTTTCATCTAAGTGACAGAAAATGTCTAAAACCTAATTTGGAGTAACATATTATTAATTATATTAGCTACATAATAATCAGAGAAATTGATGGTTATTGAAAATAGTTTGGCCGTATCAAAAGAGTTTTGGAAATGTTTTTAATAGTTTTAAATGAAAAGTAAAGTCACTGACAAAGACACTAGAAGATATCTGTACTATTCCAGACAAATTCAAATACATATGTATATCTAAAATACGGAATGTATTTTTAATCAAACAATTTTAATTAAAATTAGCATGCCTGAAATATCCGGGCGTTACGCCCCTGGCGGTGAAAATGAACCGAATTGTGTACATGCAAAAATTTCACTCAACTAATAATAGGAAGTTCCTGTTATTTTTCGCTTTTTATAAACCGATGAATCGCACCTCAAAAATAGTCATTATGGAATTTAGAAAGAATTAAATTCACAACAAATTATGTTATACATATTTTTCCCGTAACGAATAATTCTGACGCAGAAGCTAATGCAGACTAAAGCTTATTTGTTTTACTTCTAAATATACCTACGCAGGTTTTAAAATGTAATTTGGCTCTAAAAATTATAAATTTAGGATTCAATGACTTTTAGCACTTATACAGGGTATCCCATTTTAAATAAACTCTAAAAGGCTGTCAACTAAAAATATCGCTACAGTATTATGGATTCCACAAGAAATTTCCATTGGAACTGATAGATTTTGTTTAACCAATGGACAATCATGGGTTTTAGAAGGCAGTATTTTCTAGTATATTTTTGTATGAATATCATAATTGGATACCAAACGAGTGAACCATATTCTAGTGGCAAAGGCAGAGTAAAGAGTTTTCAAGGCATTTATACATATATTCATAACATACCGGCTACTGCGTATAATAAAACCAAATGTTCTATATCTATGTTTCACCGGTAAAAGTTAGTTTCTGATCGAAGATGTACCGAGATCACAGAACATGGCTGATCTTTGCAGGTTTATCATAAAAATGTATAAATATATTAAATAATAATGGCCCTAGAACACTGGAAGAGGCTAGTAATTCCATAGATTTAAAGCCATTGTAGACAACGTATTGGTTTCTAATAGTTAAATATGATTTAAGTAATTGCAAAAGTGAATCAGTAAAAGCTTATTTCAGATAACCGTTTTAACAATAGCTTTATGATTGAGTCTATCGAACGCTTTTGAGAAACTCGTAGGTACAGGTATACGAGTATTATATATCAGTTTGTGCCTGCATATGTAAGGATTTAAAAATAAATTAAGTGACGCAAAGTAAATTGATATTCGTCGACAAGCCTTTCATAAATCTGTGTTGGCAGGTGGAAATATTATCATGTAATAAGTTTCCAGATTTTGCAGAAGTTGCAGATTATAGAAATCGGCCTAAAATTAGATTTGCCTGA